TTACACCGAGGTTTGTTTTAACCTTTTATTTTAACCCTTTATTAACCCGATATGTACTCTGGGAACTATTTTACACCAGGGTGTCCCTTTTATCAGTACAGCTTATGGCGACTGAACTGGGGCATGAGGTCCCACTCAGGCCTCAGGTTGATCAGACCAGCTGACCTCTCTAACACATCTTCCAGCAGCTGAAGACTGCGCTCAAACTTCAGTGGGAGCTTCAGTGGGAGTGCAGGCAAAGCTCCAGATTGATTGCTGCCGACCAGGGGCCTCCGGTCTCATCAACACACCTCTCTCCAACCACTGATGGTCACATCAATGGTGACAATAAAAAAAGAAGCTTGGGAATCAAGGATGAGTTTGGTATTATATATGAAGCCACCCAACATGCATTGCGGCATGAAGCTTTTTTTGTTTTGATAGTCACCATTGTTGTGATTCATATGCAAAATCTTGATATCTTGGTGAAAACATTTGCAACATTGTTGAAACAATTTTGAATCGTGCTTGTTTTTGGTTTTGCTGTTTCACACAGTTGGACCAATCTAAAGATGTAAAACTAACACAAGAAACGCAGGGACCAAGATAGCTAAGGCATTATAGCGACAACTAAAGCACCACCCTAATGGTGACTTCAATTGACAGATCAACCTGGAGGGCCACTGTCCTGCAGAGAGCAGTTACCATTGACACATTAAGGCCCTGTTTACACGAGAACGCTCGCGGGTGAAAACGTAGAAATATTTTATAGGATGTGTTTTGTTGGCTTCAGTCGAGAGTTCAAGAGATTTCCACGATGCACAAGCGAGAATTGCGATCTCCTTCAACTACCTCAGTTCAGTTCTCGCGCATGCGTCGTGGAAATCTCTTCTGAGGCCCACAAGGAAGAACAAAAGTACTTTTTTGCACAAAAGTATTCTCGTTGCTTGATAAACTTATACTTGAGCCACTGTAGTCACATGGAATATTTGAACATTTTCTTCAATGACTTTCTGGGCCGTCAAGTACCCGGAGCCATGTAGCAGTGATCTACCTCTCAAATTTAATAAAAAATATCTTCATTTGTGTTCTGAAGATGAACGAAGGCCTTACGGGGTTGGTACAGCATGGGGGTGAGTAATTAATGACTTAATTTTCATTTTTTGGGTGAACTAACCCTTTAAGGATATCGGTTTGCATGCCTTTTTCAAATTAAGTCTAACTAATTAGATTTTACAGTGACAGAAAACAATTTAATGCACTTCAGGTGTTCTGCAGTCTTTTAAGCAGTGTTTCAGGACAGATTGGGTCTTTTTCTGCTACAAAGTTGTAGTTTTTCTCTTTTTTTTACTACAACTTACTGAAAACGACTGATCAATCAAATACAAGTTCCCTTTTTCTCAAAATATATGCTCCGTAAAAAAGGTTTCTGCCTTATTGTTAAGTACAATCAACTTGGATGCTTCAGCAATGCCATCTTAAATAACAATAAACTGACTGAGTTGATAGTCTTATAACTAATAAAAAAAGTTTTAAATTGCTAATGTATTTTAATAAGTTAAAGCAATGTAAAAACGTATGTTGTCATAACTTTTTGATCAATTCTCAAAACTACATGACAGCAACAAATAAAACGACATTATTAAATATTAGCTCAAACGACGTCACGCTTTCCTCTAATCCTTGTTGGATTTGCATCTTTGATGTAAGATGTAAAGTAGAGGCAGATCTGTGTTTATCTTGTCACAGCAGAATGGAAATAAAGAGATAAGGTGAATATCCACTGGGTTCAAAGGTTTCATGCTCCAAAATGGACATTAATGTAGTAATACATACAACATGCAACTACTTGGTATATGTGAAATTCACTCTCAAATCATAAACAGTTTAAATAATATATAAAATCCCAGCTAGGATAACAGGCGAAGAGTTAGACTCAACCCCACCAGATTTTACAATATATACAATGTTAGACGCGACCTTTGTATTGATGTTGGTTTAATAAGTATAAAAGCATCTTGGCATGTGTTCTGTCTTTGTGTATGAATTTGAATATGGATTTGAATGTGAGCAGGAGGTAACAGAATGCATTTCTTCAGGTGGATGAGCAGATGATTGTCATTTACACTTCTGACTCACAAATATTTACGTGTTTTCACCCGATGATCCTTCAAAGAAAAACTCATGTCAGGTAAGACACTCTTGAAATACTTTATAAATCAGAGAATAAAATGCTTTAGTGTTACTGTCAATCTCACAGTTGTTGGGTCTTTTGTTGTTAAATCATTTAGGCAACATGTTATGCAGGGGAAATCCTCAGCTTAAGATCATAATCTCTGATATTCATAATTATGATGAACCGTCAGCCTTTTCAAACAACTATACTGCATCATATACTCTGAACTGTGATTTCTGTGTTATTTTGAGTAATTTGTTTATATTCATAATCTCAAAGGATAATGTTGCATATTCGTTGCCAAGGTTACAGACAGACATGAAGTTAAATTGATGGACGGTATAATAGACATCAGTTTTTAAGTGAAAACTTGATCTTTTTTAGCATTTAAATCACAGTTTTCAGGCTATGTTGAATCTCTCTGGTGAAACTAACAGTAACACAGCTATCATGAACGGTTCTCACCATCACAGTCTTTACCATCACTTAGGCTGGTGTCTAAATTTATTAATAATAAAACTCAGCTGATGTCTACTGAATGCACATTTTAAACAGCTCGATCAATTTCAACAGCAGCACTGTACAACACCTGTTCAATTATGGTCATTAAGCCAAATCTCTTTAAAAGTCTTTATTTAGATGAAGGCACTGAGAAACATTTTTGTTACTGTTTCTGGATATTGAATTTACCGGTGCTTGGCGAATCTTATTTTCCCAGATGCAATTCAGTCATTTCAATACAATCCTGCGTTTGAAAGCAGCATGTGTGAGTTTCATTGTGAAGACAATGGACTATTTAGGTGTAGATTTTTTTTTTTTTTTGCCTGTGAGATTTTGTTAATATTATAATATAATATTATAATATAAAAAATATAATAATATTTTGTAAATATGGCTAAAGTGATAATGCCTTTTAGTGTTTACACGTTATGTACTCAAGAGAGAATGCAATATTATAGGACTCAACCTACACGTCTGCGCACACATGCTTTCTTTTACAACACTAAACTTGTAATACATGTGTTGCACGCCATCACCATTTTCACAAATTCGCATTTTTGACGTTTGCAGTCATGGAAACAAAAACGATATCGGTTTCAAAAATTGCTCTTTGAAACCTGTTGTCAAAAGTGTCTTTTCAGTCCATCAAAATGTATAAAAAGTTTGCAGTTGTTAGTTGAAAACCGTGTTGTGTAAACGGCCCCAATTAGATCAATAGTGAAATATTTTCACGAGTGGGTAATTCCCACAGAAAACACAAGTTACACGATAGTTGAAATATCAGTGAAAGATGCGCAGGACGGGGTAATTTAATCTCCACCATCAACATAGGATTTATATCGGTAATATTTTACTGCAGGGACAGCAGTGTTTCACTGGAACTCGTTCCCCATAAAAAGAGTCTAGATGACCCTGCAATAAACAATCACACACACACACACATGCATTCTCTTTCTGTTCAAAAACACAAGTTAGACAGAGAATCGTAATGGCGCCACCGTGTGTCTCTAAATGATTGCACACTCTCCTCATTTATAACAGTTGCAACATACTGTAAACTCACAAATACAGTGCAATTTCCAAGACTGTTTCACTAAAGTCATGCAACAAACTAAAATCATGCAACAAACTAAAATCATGCAACAAACTAAAGTCATGCAACAAACTAAAGTCATGCAAAAACTAAAGTCATGCAAAAACTAAAGTCATGCAAAAAATAAATTCATGCAAAAACTAAAGTCATGCATAAACATCTCGATTAATTTGTTTGTTTTCTCTCTCTCTCTAAACTGTAAAGGAAACTCGTCATCTGAACTGTTTTTATATAAAGAGAAATACACCGGGATGACCAAACTGACAATGGCTCCTTCTCTTCATAAAGGTGACTATATTATAAAAGTGCTTCTCACTGCTGCAAAAGACTTTTTTATGACAGATGATTAATGTAGTTTTCTCAAAATCAAAATTATTGATTTTTTTCCTTTGTATATCCTGACAGGTTTTCTAAGAGCACAGATTATCACCTCTGTTATGCTGTGTAAGTCAATAAGCAGTGTTTTTTGCTCAATTCTTGCTTATCATTTTTTGTTGTGACAATAACACATAAGCAGGCCCACATGTTTATTTAATAAATATTAAGGCTATCTTTATTATGCGTTTCCAATCTGATTAAACCATTTCACCATATTTAAATCCTACCCAAACTCAACACAGAAGATAGTAATAAGACTTCCCAGTCAACACGTGAGATCATGTCGATATTATATGAGTTATTTGTGAATTCAAAGTGTTGAGCAGGATGAGAGCAAACAGTTCAAATATCGGTCACTGGGGACAATCTACTTCCTGTTTCACAACACTATCACAGTGATGTCACAATGATGTCACATGGTCAGCTCACAGTATGAGTGCACACACATATAACAGAGCGTCCTCCGAACATATAACTGACTTCACATTCAGTGTGCAGTCTTTGTACAGTATTATAGATTATTGTGACTGTGCTGATTATACAGTATGAGATAGAACAGCCCCATTGTAATGTATAAATGATATTAAATGTATAACAATACACAAACATTTGAACTACTGTCTCATTTAGACACAAAGAGAAATCAAGAATCAGTGTATTAACCTCAACCATGGTGACAATCAAAAGTTTCATGTTGCAATGCATTACTAGTCTTTGTGTGCACTTTGTGTGCACAAAATGAAAATGATGTCATTAATGACTCGTCCCAAGCCCGTCAGACCTCCGTTCATCTCCAGAACACAGTTTAAGATATTTTAGATTTAGTCCGAGAGCTTTCTGTCCCTCCATTGTAAATGTGTGTACGGTATACTGTCCTTGTCCAGAAAGGAAATAAAGACTTCATCTTCATTTTTGGGTGAACTAACCCTTTAAACTGTGAGACACTTCTTTCACTCAGAAGACTGAGCTGTGACGTTATTCATGTACTGGACAGCCAAGAGTTTACCAGAGTTCACCTAAAATGTTCTGATTCAAATCTTTTGTAATTTGTTAATTAATTTGTATTTGCTTTCATTTTTAATCTCAGATCTCTTGACCTCTGTAACTGTCACACAAGAGACAACCTCCACTGGTAATGTATTGTGCTGAATTGTCCAGTTTTTCTCAGCTTATGTCTGCAAACAATGTAGAAATTTATTCTGACCGCAATTAAATCTCGGGAAATCAATATGTTTCTGGAGATTAGTCATATTTTTCTACATTCTTAAAGGATGATGTCTGTGGCTGTTATAATGTTCACTTCTGATGTGTCACTCAAGATTGGCAGTTTTGCTTCCCCATATATAGTAATATTTTGTTAATTGGAAATTAACATAGATAGGAATGACTAAAGCTGCACTTCTGGATAGATTTTATAGCCTGAACATTTTATTAACAATAACAGGTCATGATTGCTTAATATATTTTCACTACAGCTAATCTGTCAGACCCCTGCAACAACTACACTGAGCTGAACGATACATGGAGATCCATCAGTAATACATATAACTCCTACATGTGTGACCGGTCTGTCTCCTGGAGCGGCTGGTATCGTCTCTTCATTAACAGCACTAGCGCTCATATCCCAGACACGTGTGTTGCTCAGTACAGATGTGGCACTGATGCCCCACTGTGGATCCGTGGTGGACACCCAACAGTAACAGATGGAGTCGTCACTCGAGATGTCTGCGGTAACTGGAACAATTTCTGCTGCTATTTCGGGTCTTATCCCATTAAAGTCAAAGCCTGTCCAGGAGATTATTATGTCTATGAACTGGTCAGTCCAACTCTCTGTAAACTTGCATACTGTGCAGGTAATCATATTCACATGAGCTCTTTCTACACATTCATGATATTTGTGTTTCTGTTGATTAATCATTATTCATCCAAACTTTCAGACACTGGCAGCATTAACACCAGCCCTACAACTGTCACACCAGTGACCATCTCACCTGGTAATGAAACACACTGCACTCAAAAAAATAATATGTTGGCTTTAATTAATTTTAATTTGTCAACAGGTTCCAGGTCCCACTGTAATTTAAATGGTTTAATAATTCCAATGTAATTTAACATTAAACACTATTACACAATATCAAGTCTTCCCCTTTTCTAAATTTCTCAAAAAAAAAAAAAAAAAACATAAAATAACACTTAATTTTAACATTTATTCTCTCTTAATTCAACCATATGCAAAGCATGCTGGGAACTAAAAGCACTGCCCAGTTTCAGTTGAGACAACACAAATCAATCACGTACAACACAAACGGATTAAGTAAACTTAAGTTGTTCGTAGATTTAAGCAGATTGAACACAATAAAATTAAGTTCGGGCAAAATGGCAGTCGGCTCGCACTATACTGCCCCCCTCTGGATGTACACATTTTTTTACTTAGCATAAATGGTTTGTGTTTAGACAACACATTAGGATTTTGTACTGTTAAATTGAGGCACAATTACATAGACCTTAATAGAAAAAAAACATTTAAAGTCAAAAAATATAATTATTATAAGTAAACTATATATTATGTAAAGTGCACAACCTCCCTAGTTTATTTTTTTGAGTGTGTGAACGATGATCTGTAACAGTTAATATAAGTGTGTGTGTTTGTGACAGACACTCGAAAAAGAGATGTGTTAAAAAACAACACACAGCATGTGTTAATGGTATTTTGACACAAGTTGTGTAGATTTTTGGGTCCCACTTTATATTAAGATGTACTTACTTTGAAAAATAAGTACAATGTACTTATTTTGTTCAGGTTGTATTGTAAAACACTTTTGCTGCTATTGAGGTGAGATACGGGTAAGGTTCGGGTCAGGTGTGGTTGTATGGGTCGGTTTAAGGGTTGGTTAAGGTGTAAGGGAAGGGTCAACTGTGTAATTACAAACGTAATTACATTTATTAATTACAGCTGTAATTACATGCAGGTATTTTCAAAATATAAGTACAATGTACATGCATGTATGTACATAATAAGTCCATTGTGTCAAATTATTAATTTCAATGTAAGTACATAGTACTTAAAGCCACTTAATATAAAGTGGGACCGATTTTTAACACACAATGTGTCTTAAAATGTAACGATATAGCAATGGATGGAGGGAAGTTTGTGTTTATGAAAATAATTATAGGTATATTTGATAAGGTATCCCATAGCTCTAAAATAAATAAACAGTACATTTACAATAAATAAATAAAATCTTAATTAATAAAAACTTAAAGATTAACAGGGTTTTTTTGGCAGCCAATCACATCCTGCCTCTTTTGCAATGTCTTTTTCAAATGCTAAAAAACATCAACATCAGTTAATTCTCAATAAGAGCTTGTGTATGTAGATTCATGATGTCTAAAACAAACTCTTTATTAAACATCACTGGACTACACAAACACAAGTTAACAACACTATCTAGTGTTCATTCAAACACTGGCAAATACACACTGACTACAGTCATATATCTGACACAAGCTGTGTAACTATAACACAATAGTGTGTAAAAGGTTTCAACACACTTCTGTTTAAGAGGAACAACACATTAGTTGTGTTAAAGGTAACACAAAACAACACAGGCTGTTCGTGTGTTAAAATCTACACAACATGTGTTGTCCCTGAACACACACACTACATGTGTTAAAATCTACACAACATGTGTTGTCCCTGAACACACACACACTGCTTGTGTTAAATCTGACACGTGTCATTTTTAACAACTCTTCTTAGACTGTAGGTGTAGATGTTAAACCGCTAGTTAAAGCTAGTGTGTGCAGTTTTGTAGGAGCTATCAATAACATAGGCTGTGTTTTAGTAACAGAAACTGCACTGACCAATCAGAATCAAGCATTTCAGAGAGACACACAATAAATGAATGTTTTCAAGTTTAAAAAAATCACACTTTTTTGCTTTATCAAGGTTTTTACTAATTGATTTTTAGTTTTTTTTAATGTTATTTTAAAGGGATACTCCACTTTTTTGGGAAATAGGCTCATTTTACAACTCCCCCAGAGTTAAACAGTTGAGTTTTACCGTTTTCGAATCCATTCAGCCGATTTTCTGATTTTTAGATGAATATCAGTAACCAGACCATTTTCTGGTCTCATTGACTTCCATAGTAGGAAAAAAATATATACTATGGAAGTCAATGAGACCAGAAACGGTAAAACTCGACTGTTTAACTCTGAGGGAGTTGTAAAATGAGCCTATTTCCCAAAACAGTGGAGTATCCCTTTAAAGCTTGTTGGCCGTTTGCTGAGGCCTCTGGTAGCTCTGGTTTATAGTCATTCTAGTGAACTAGCCACTGTGAATTCAATCAATTTCATGAAAAAGTATTATATGATTTTTTAAGCAATAATTGTTTTCATGTTTTTTACAGCTTATCCTTCTGTTGACCCCTGCAACAACTACACTGAGCTGGACGAACCATGGAGAGCCAACAGCAGTCAGATCTCAAACTCCTACAAGTGTGATCAGTCTGTCTCCTGGAGCGGCTGGTATCGTCTCTTCATTAACAACATGAGCGCTCATATCCCAGACACGTGTGTTGCTCAGTACAGCTGTGGCACTTATATCCCACTGTGGATCCGTGGTGGACACCCAACAGTAACAGATGGAGTCGTCACTCGAGATGTCTGCGGTTACGCTGGGAGTTTCTGCTGCTCTTTCGGGTCTTATCCAATTAAAGTCAAAGCATGTCCAGGAGATTATTATGTCTATGAGCTGGTCAGTCCAACTCGCTGTCCTTCAGCATACTGTGCAGGTAATTATGTGTTCAAAAGCTCTTGGTATGATTTGAGTCAGTTAATTAATTCATGAGTATTCATCTGTGATTATTTCCCCAGCTGTTACTAACATCAGCATCATCACGAATACAACAGTCGCACCACAGACGACCTCAGCTGGTAATGTAGTCTGATGACTCCTCTGTTGGATTGTGTTTAGGCTGAATGTTTGTGGATCTGTAGCATTGATGTGTGAGTGTGTTTGTGTCTCTAGGGGGGGAAGACTGTGAAATGTGCAGTTATATCATTACAGACATTTTCTTGAACATCAGTGCTCAAGATGTTATTCAGAGGAATCATGTTTGACTGTTTCAATATGGCTTCAAGGATACAGCTGATCCGCACTCATAATTCCAAACCCGTATAGTCACTTTATTTCATATTTTTTCACATTATTCACCAGGGAATATACACAGACGTTTATGGTTAGTTTTGCGAGGGAAATGTGTGCTGATTGTATGATTATTTGTACATTTTGAACAGACTGAAAGGAGATAGAGTGACAGTCAACTTTAGATTTTAGTTTAATATTTTTCCACCTATCAGTAGGCCCCGCCCCTCAAACACATATCAGCCAATGGCAGTTGAGTATTAGTTCCGGTTTCAGCGCCTTAGAGAAACATTGGAAGAAACGAAGCTCTCGTCGCTTTGATGGTGTTTGTGCTACAAAAATGTTAAATTTATGTTCATGGGGTAACACTAATTGTAACACTGATTCCAGGTATCCTGAGAGAATGGAATTTATTTTATTTTATCCTGTTTCTCAACACAATATCACAGTGATGTCACATTGTCAGCTCGCAGTATAAGTGTACACACAGATAATAGATTTCTCTTATAAGAGCGTTCTCCAACATACAACTGACTCCAGATTCACTGTGTGCAGTCTTTGTAAGGTATTTTTGCTAATGAATATTATATTACAAAAGTCCTGTGCTGATTATACAGTATGAGATCCAACAGTCTCATTATCGTTTATAAAGAATATTAATTATATAATAATACACAAACAGTTTAACTACTGTGTCATTTAGACACAAAGAGAAATCAAGAATCAGCGTATTAACCTCAACCATGGTGACAATCAAAAGTTTCATGCTGCAATGCATTGCTAGTCTTTGTGTGCACTTTGACCTCACATTGTGTCCCTAGTTTGAGCACACAGTGAGGATACACTTTTATCTCACTGTGACCTCAGATTGTGAACACATCACGAGTGTCCTGAGCTCATGGTGAGATCGCTGTGAGATTAAATAGTTGACTGGGTTTATAAGATTGGGTCTTCATTGATCGAATGATCTTACAGTGTGTTTGAGCTGCAACTCCAAATGAATCCCTCTTAAAGGGTTAGTTCACCCAAAAATGAAAATGATGTCATTAATGACTCGTCCCAAGCCCGTCAGACCTCCGTTCATCTCCAGAACACAGTTTAAGATATTTTAGATTTAGTCAGAGAGCTTTCTGTCCCTCCATTGTAAATGTGTGTACGGTATACTGTCCTTGTCCAGAAAGGAAATAATGACATCATCTTCATTTTTGGGTGAACTAACCCTTTAAACTGTGAGACACTTCTTTCACTCAGAAGACTGAGCTGTGACGTTATTCATGTACTGGACAGCCAAGAGTTTACCAGAGTTCACCTAAAATGTTCTGATTCAAATCTTTTGTAATTTGTTAATTAATTTGTATTCGCTTTCATTTTTAATCTCAGATCTCTTGGCCTCTGTAACTGTCACACAAGAGACAACCTCCACTGGTAATGTATTGTGCTGAATTGTCCAGTTTTTCTCAGCTTGTGTCTGCAGACAATGAAGAAATTTATTCTGACCGCAATTAAATCTCGGGAAATCAATGTGTTTCTGGAGATTAGTCATATTTTTCCTGAAGGAGACTGTTTGTGATCGTCTGCTATAATGTTCACTTCTGCTGTGTCACTCAAGATTGGCAGTTTTGCTTTCCCGTTATAAAGTAATATTTTGTTAATTGGAAATTAACATAGATAGGAATGACTAAAGCTGCACTTCTGGATAGATTTTATAGCATGAACATTTTATTAACAATAACACGTCATGATTGCTTAATATATTTTCACTACAGCTAATCTGTCAGACCCCTGCAACAACTACACTGAGCTGAACGATACATGGAGATCCATCAGTAATAAACTTAACACTTCCTCCTCCTACAACTGTGACCAGTCTGACTCGTGGAGCGGCTGGTATCGTCTCTTCATTAACAGCATGAGCGCTCATATCCCAGACACGTGTGTTGCGAGGTACAGTTGTGGCACTGATGTCCCACTGTGGATCCGTGGTGGACACCCAACAGTAACAGATGGAGTCGTCACTCGAGATGTCTGCGGTTACGATGGGAGTTTATGCTGCTATTACGGGTCTTATCCCATTAAAGTCAAAGCCTGTCCAGGAGATTATTATGTCTATGAACTGGTCAGTCCAACTCGCTGTAATATGGCATACTGTGCAGGTAATTATATTCACATGAGCTCTTTCTACACATTCATGATATTTGTGTTTCTGTTGATTAATCATTATTCATCCAAACTTTCAGACACTGGCAGCATTAACACCAGCCCTACAACTGTCACACCAGTGACCATCTCACCTGGTAATGTAACACACTGTGAACGATGATCTGTAACAGTTAATATGAGTGTGTGTGTGTGTGTGTGTGTGTGTGTTTGTGACAGACACTCTAAAAAGAGATGTGTTAAAAAACACACAGTATAATGTGTTAATGGTATTTTGACACAACTTGTGTAGATTTTTAACACACAATGTCTTATATTGTAACGATAGAATAGCAATGGATGGAGGGAAGTTTGTGTTTATGAAAATAATTATAGGTATATTTGATAAGGTATCCCATAGCTCTAAAATAAATAAACAGTACATTTACAATAAATAAATAAAATCTTAATTAATAAAAACTTAAAGATTAACAGGGTTTTTTTGGCAGCCAATCACATCCTGCCTCTTTTGCAATGTCTTTTTCAAATGCTAAAAAACATCAACATCAGTTAATTCTCAATAAGAGCTTCTGTATGTAGATTCATGATGTCTAAAACAAACTCTTTATTAAACATCACTGGACTACACAAACACAAGTTAACAACACTATCTAGTGTTCATTCAAACACTGGCAAATACACACCGACTACAGTCATATATCTGACACAAGCTGCGTAACTTTAACACAATAGTGTGTAAAAGGTTTCAACACACTTCTGTTTAAGAGGAATAACACATTAGTTGTGTTAAAGGTAACACAAAACGACTCAGGCTGTGTGTTAAATTTGACACGTTGTGTCCCTGAACACACACACTACATCTGTTAAAATCTACACAACATGTTGTCCCTGAACACACACACACTGCTTGTGTTAAATCTGACACGTGTCATTTTTAACAACTCTTCTTAGAGTGTAGGTGTAGATGTTAGACCGCTAGTTAAAGGTAGTGTGTGCAGTTTTGGAGCTATCAACAACATAGGCTGTGTTTTGGTTACAGAAACTACACTGACCAATCAGAATCAAATATTTCAGAGAGACACGCAATAAATGAATGTTTTGAAGTTTAAAAAAATCACACTTTTTTGCTTTATCAAGGTTTTTACAAATTGATTTTTAGTTGTTTTTTATGTTATTTTAAAGGGATACTCCACTTTTTGGGGAAATAGGCTCATTTTACAACTCCCCCAGAGTTAAACAGTTGAGTTTTACCAATTTCGAATCCATTCAGCCGATTTTCAGATTTTTAGATGAATATCAGTAAACAGATCATTTCTGGTCTCATTGACTTCCATAGTAGGAAAAAAATATGGAAGTCAATGAGACCAGAAACGGTAAAACTCGACTGTTTAACTCTGAGGGAGTTGTAAAATGAGCCTATTTCCCAAAACAGTGGAGTATCCCTTTAAATCTTGTTGGCCGTTTGCTGAGGCCTCTGGTAGCTCTGGTTTATATTCATTCTAGTGAACTAGCCACAGTGAATTCAATCAATTTCATGAAAAAGTATTATAGAATTTAAGCAATAATTGTTTTCATGTTTTTTACAGCTTATCCTTCTGTTGACCCCTGCTACAACTACACTAAGCTGGACAATCCATGGAGAGCCAACAGCAGTCAGACCTCAAACTCCTACAAGTGTGACTGGTCTGTCTCCTGGAGCGGCTGGTATCGTCTCTTCATTAACAGCATGAGCGCTCATATCCCAGACACGTGTGTTGCTCAGTACAGCTGTGGCACTAATTACGCACTGTGGATCCGTGGTGGACACCCAACAGTAACAGATGGAGTCGTCACTCGAGATGTCTGCGGTTACGCTGGGAGTTATTGCTGCTATTACGGGTCTTATCCCATTAAAGTCAAAGCCTGTCCAGGAGATTATTATGTCTATAAACTGGTCAGTCCAGCTTTCTGTCCTTCAGCATACTGTGCAGGTAATTATGTGTTCAAAAGCTCTTGGTATGATTTGTGTTAGTTAATTAATTCATGAGTATTCATCTGTGATTATTTCCCCAGCTGTTACTAACATCAGCATCACGGACACAACAGTCGCACCACAGACGACCTCAGCTGGTAATGTAGTCTGATGACCAGTGTTGTGCAAGTTACTTCCAAACTGTAATACATTAGTTCCCTTTCGTAGTCACTTCGAGTTACGTCAGAAGTGACGGAGATTGGGGGTTTCGCATAGAAAGCCAATCCTCTTCGAGTATTTAAAAACGAGCCAATGGCATGCAATGCCTTGGGGCTGCGGAAATTTGCATAGCGTACTCCGCCCTACTCCGTGAGTATAAAAGGAGGAAGTGAACGCAACCGCAGTATAGTGAGAGTCCCCGTGTCCGTTACTCGTTCTGCTTCTAAAAATAGAAGCTCTTCGACTCGCGGATAGGGTGATATGACGGTGAATGTTTGACACTCCCCCCGACGTTAGTTAAAGTCTCGGGTCACACCCACCGCTCCAGTGTTAGAGCCAGTGAGCGCTGCATCGCTTCAGACGTCTGCCTCTCTGAGGTACCGTCTGTTTCGTTCAGCGCTCCAGAGAATGATGCGATGACGATCGCAGCATCACAAGGCGGGCTTGACTCCTCGGGAAGTG